TTCAGTGCAGTATACACAATTTATCCAGTTTTTCTCAGTCTTACCCCAACCCTGATATCAGTCCCATTTTACAGTGGTGGCACCATGCAATATTTGTCCTTTTGCGACTGAGATATTTCACTCAGCATGTCTCAATCATTTTATAAGGTAAACAATTAAGAGACTTGTGACTAAGAACACTAAAATAACGTTGGAAGACAGTTTATCATCTTATGCAAGAGAAAGAACTCCTTAGTCAATTGATGAGCTCAATGTACACCATTGTTTTAGTGAGTTATAACTTTGAAGTCTTTCTCTCTAATTAAGCTTGTTTTTTTAAACATTTCCTTTTACTACTACGATGATGATGATGATTTGACCTAAAGTTGATAGAGAAAACTGAGATTCCATTCAACTATTCATGCGCGTTTCATTTTATGTCATTGGTTACATTGCCCACTTTGTATCATCATCGTTTTCATTATCTTTCTGTGATTCTTGTTTCTGTTTTTCCTACCAACCCTCCCTTCCTACTTTCTGACTTTTATCCTTAGACAAATTCTAATCTTGTAATATATGTTGCCCTTTTTCTGAAAGAATAGCCCTTTTGCTGAAACGGTCCTGCATGTTTTCACCAATAACCCCTCAATCTCAGGTATGCCCAGGGACCTGGCACTCAGTGGATGATTAGAATGCCCCTGAGCTACAAGTCTAGCATAGCAGATGATGGAACTATCTGCTAAGGGAATCAAGAAGTCCTATAATTACCAAAATGTTGACATAAGTGATAATAGGCAATTAAAAAACTGTGTGGGACAGGAGAGGAAAATAGTACTTATATTAGGTGTAATTATACACTAGGGGTAGACTAGCTTGCTATAATTAATAGTAACAAAACAGAGTAGTAGAGCTCTAGCTGACAGAACAATGAAGGAATTAGGTGGACGGAAGCCTGTCCAGTATCTGGTCCCTGATTCCCTTGACAGCCTCTGTCTCTAGGCATGTAAGTACTCCAGGTTCCAATCATAAAGCCTCCACCTTCCCTTGAGCTCCTTCATAGTGTGTGTCTTCTCAAATGCCATTCTATATCTCTAAGATGCCGTGCTCCATGGCAGAAGGATGGGCAATCTCTCCCATGCCATTTACTGCTTCTGAAAACTTGCAACAGAGTCCACTCCAGTTCCATGGCACATAACAATGACCACTGTCCTTGGCTCTGATTCAGTGACTGGGGTAATGGGGATGGGTGTATCAGAGACAATAAGATTGGCACAGGATAGAGCAGGGTTTAGGGCTGTTGTACATACAGTCACTATGAGTCACAGGTGACTCGATGGCACATAACAGCAACAACGCCATCCCCACTATAGTGACTTCTATTTTATTGATCATTATTCCTTCTATCCCTCTAACTCTCTTCCCACAATCAGCACTTGGTCTAGTTTTGACTGCTGATATTGAATTTCTCCAATTATCTTTTCCATAGATGTAGTCAATCTGATTTCTATACAGTCTATCTGGTGAGGTACATGTATAAAGTTGCCATTTGTGTGGATTTTTTTTTAAAAAAAAAAAGGTACTTGCAATGAATAAATCATTGAATGTATAAAATTCAATCATTCTATTTCTAACCTCATTACTGTTCCCAAGTTCATACCTTCCAACTACCCTTCCTTCTTTATTGTTTCCAACATTTACATTCCAATTACCAATGATCATTAAGACATCTTAATTACATGTTTGATGAATTTCAGACTGCGAAATTTGATAAAAGTGTTCCATTTCCTCCTCTTAGGCTTTAGCTGCAGGAGAGTTTATTTGAATAACAGTCATATTAAAAGGTTTACCTTGTATGCATATCAAGAATATCCTATAATTCACAACATTGTTCTTCAGGATAGAACTTGAAATTGTCTTTTTAACTACAGATGAGACACCATTCTTATTCTGGTTTTTCATTTCCAGAATAGTATGCCATATGACTGATTCAAAATGGCCAAAACCAGTGGTTAAATCCAGACTTTCAAGCTAGATTTATAAGATATGCTGATAGCAGATGGATCCTGGCTGAAAACAAAGAATATCAGAAGAATGTCTATTTGTGCTTTATTGACTATGCAAAGGTGTTTGACTGAGTTGTTCATAACAAATTATGGCTAACATTGGGAAGAATGAGAATTCCAAAACACTTAATTGTGCTCCTGTGAAACTTATACCTACACCCAGAGGCTATTGTGTGAATAAAGCAAAGGAATACTGCAGGGCTTAAAATTAGGAATGATGTGCATCAGTACTGGATCCTTTCTACATACATATGTAATCTATATGCTGAGCAAATTGTTAGAGAAGCTGGAGTCTGTGAGGAAAAATGTAACATCTGGATTGCAGGAAGACTTGTCAATAACCTTTGTTGTGCAGATGACACAATCTTACTTGCTGAAAGTGAGGATGACTTGAAACACTTGCTGAAGAAGGTTAAACACTGCACAATTTAATATGGTTTGCATCTCAACAAGAAGAAAACAAAAATCCTCACCACTGGACCCATAGGCAATATCATGACGGATGGGAGGAAGGATTGAGACTGTCAACAACTTCATCTTACTTGGATCCACAATCAATACATTTAGTACTAGCAGTCAGGAAAACTGGAAATATATTGCACTGGGAAAGTCTGCGATCAGGGACCTCTCCACGTTATTGAGAAGTAATGATGTCAGTTTGAGGACTAAGGTGGTGGACAGGATTCAAGCCATACTCTTTTCAGTCACTTGTTATGCATCTGAAATCTGGAAAATGAGTAAGGATGACATAAGAAGAACTGATACCTTTGAACTGTGGTGTTGGAGAGGAATGCTGAATATCCTATGGACTGCCAAAAGAACAGATATGTTTTGAATAAGTTACAGTCAGAGTCCTCCTTTGGGGTAAAGATGACTAAGCTTCATCTCACATATTTTAGGGATGTTTCTAAAAGGGGTTATTCCTTGGAGAGGGATATCATGGTTGAAAAGATGGAGGAAGAGTGAAATAAAGGAAGACTCTCAACCAGGTGGATTGACACAACGACTACAGCAAGTCTTGAGCATGTCAGAGATTGTGAGGATGGCACAAAAGATTCAGACAAGATTCAGAACTGTTGCTTATAGGGTCACTACGGGTCATACTAGGTTTGACAACACATAACAACAACAACTAACTTTTTCTTTTTAAAAAGATTCTAACCTATAGGGCAGGATTCAGAGCTAATGAGTCGCAGGCAACATGATGGTACATAACAACAACAATAACATGTACAAATGCTTTATTAGATTCTTTTTTTAGAACATATTCTTCTTTTTCTTCAAAATTCTGCATTTCTTATTTGTTGAATTTGTCTCTTTCCAAGTCTTCTTTCTCAATGCTTAATAACCTACTGGTCTGTGTGAAAGGAGCAACAACGGTCAAGCAGTGGGGTATAAATTGAAAGATGAGCAGTTCCCACTCATTAACAGCTCCAAAGAGAAAAGATCCAGCC